TAGACCCTGCCTGAATGTCACTGAATGAGCCATGTGCACTTCTAGCTGCCCACCAGCATCACCCTCACCTGTGATGAAATGGGATGTCCATGGTCCCAGAGGAACAGAGACCCTTCCACCAGCAGCATCCCAGTGGACCCCCTTCTTCTGTGGTTACCAGGCCTTGTCTTCATTCCATAAATTGTTGCTCTGCATCTTAGTCACACCAATAATGATGGGAAAGAGGGCTCTGCAAACAAATGTACAATGGTATACTTTCTTCTTGGTTTTAAAAAATTGCTTCTGTTCCACTGTATTTTGATAATAATTTAACTTGAAAACACTGATTTTAATAGATTGTAGTAAGGTGACCACATATTTTGCATTTTCAGTATATCTTTGTGGGAGCTCTTGGATGGATTGCAGTAGGCATAACTAAACTAGACCTTGACACACCAGAAAGAGTGCTCTTGTGGTGAAGAGTGCTGAAGATGGGTAGAGGAGGAAGAGCATAAGTAGGAGAGTGAGCTGTGTGTTTAGAAAGTGGCTCTGGATGTCTGTAAAGTGTAAAGGCTGTGGTGGCTGTAGGAAGGATAGAAAAATAAAGCTGATGTCACTAGCTGCAAAAATTGCAGAAGGCCTCATGTACCAGTACCAGCTCTCTTGGATAGTCATACGTGGAGGAGACTTTTAGCATGAGAATGATTCCTTCAGATTTGCACTTTTGTGAGGCTCCCTGGGGACGGTGTGGAGGATGGATTTGTGGCTGATCTTTTGATGGTGCTGCCATGACATCAAGCTAAGGAACAGAGAGCATGAGAGGGCTACAGTTGTTCTGTAGTTTGGCATAGTGGCTTACTTATTGGGCTGCTCCCTGAAAGATTGGCTGTTTGAATCCACTAGGCGCTCCGTGGAGAAAGAAGGGCTGCTTCTCCCTTTAAAGATTTGCCACCTCAGCAACCCAATGGGAGATTGCTCAGAGTGGGAATTGACTTCACGGCATGGTTTTCATCCTGAACATTACCTTTGGGGGCTTGTGTTATATTCCGTGCACAAGCCTGGCTTCTCTTGTGGTCCTCACTGGCTTGTAGCTCGTTGTGGGATCTGTGGGATCAATGCACAGCCATCCACAGCCACTGGAGGTGCAGTGGGGGCATGGGATCTGTGTGGACAGCTCAGAAACCTTATGTTGAGTTGTGATGTTAGTCCATTTAATGTTCTTCATTGTGCACTTTGTTTGCCCAGTCACAAGAGCTTCATTCTGTGTTCAAGCTTTTGTTGTAATTTGCAAAGGCATGTGAAGACAGTTCTTTTTTGACTTTGTGATTATAAAAAATGAGTTTTGACCCTTGGGTATTTCAATGGTTGTTTGTGAAAGTACAATGTGTGTGGTTTACAGTAGGATCCTTAGATATGGAGGCAAAAGAAGGCTGTGGGCAGAGTGTGGCAATAGTCAAGACTGGAAGTCGTGTGTGGCTGACCTAGAACAATGGTGGAGGAGATGTAAGTGCCACAGTTGGAGTTCTTCTGGTTGGTGGTGGGATTGTTAATGGATTTTCTACCTATTCATCATGCTTCAGCGAAGTGGGGTTCTGTCTATACATCTCTGTGCTTGTGTGGTCAAATTGCAGGCAGAGAATATGTTTCCTGAGTTGGGCTGCTTGTATTCCCAGATGTAGTGAATATTGGTCATTTTCACTAGACTGAGCTACACTTCTCATGCACTATCTAACTTCCATCTCATCAGGGATATTGGCAGCAACCCCCTTACTTGCCCACTAACATCAAGTTGATTCCAGTTCATAGCCACTCTCAGTTGGGTTTCGAAGGCAGTAAATCTTAACAGGAGGAGAGGCCTATCTTTGTCTACGCAGAGCTGGTGTTCGTTTTATGGAAACAGAAACTCAGGCTCAGGGAAAAGTAAAAGATTTGTCCAGTCACAGGTTGTGAGTAATAAGAATTATTACTTGAACTAAGATTCACTTCCTTGAGAGCAAAACTCTTCCTGTCACACAATCTCACCTTCATTTGATGAAAGCAAGTATTCAATTTGAGTTTGGGCCAAGTTCTTAATATAACTAGAGGTCCAGTTTATTTGAAAAGTACTAAATATGTAACCTTATTTTTCCTATGATTATAATGGTTTGGGGTACAAATTGAAGATTTGTGACTTCTTTGTTGTTTCTTAGGGTTTTGGATTTTAAAAAAAAATGTTTAATAAAATTATTGAATTTTTGGGATTGGAATTAACTCCTCCCAACCTTGAGGAAAGTACACAGATCCAACACCCATAGACATAATGGAGAAGTGAAAAAGTAATTTCCTTAAAAACGGGTAAGACTTCCTTCATTCTAGAGGGTCTGGGAAGACAAGTGCAGAAGGGGCCATCATGTGAGCCTGGCAGACTCAGGGTATGCTGGACCTCTAGGTACCTACTAAAAACCAGAAGGGAAATACATCCACTTCCTCTCTGAGGGTGATGTTCTCAATCACCAGGCCCATTTATTAGCCTTGTTGAGTCTGTCACTTCCCTCAAGTGGACCTTTCATTGTTTATTCATTTCATGAAGGAGCTCTGGGGGCCTAGTTTTGAAGGAACTGCATGACCGTGCCTTTCTGATGCTTCAAATCCATGAGCTGATCCTTGGGAGAAAGAAAGGTGGGCAGTCTCCTCCCATGCCGTTTACAGCATCCTGGGAGCCCAGTAGAAGGTCGGCTGTGTGCTGGTTTTCACTTACCTGCAGTGAGATAGATGGAGATTGATGCCATGAGAAGAAAGATGTTAGCAGAGGAAGTCTTAGCCCCCTCTGAAGCCCATGGTCAGTGCCCAATGAATGCCCTTGCCAGGTCTAACAAGTTGAGGGTCTGTTCAGATTGGGTGTAGGAACTTCCCTTGGCTCCCCTCTTTTCACCTAAGCATTTGGAGAGGAACTGCATGACTTTTCGCCATCTTGGAGTTTCCAGGCAATTTTTAGAAAGGGCAGATGGAAAATCATTAGCACTTCTCTCCTTCAGAAAATTGATATTCCATCTAACCCAGGCTCTGACCTCTTCAGGGCAGTGAGCTGTTCGCTCATCTAGGATAAAGCACCAGGTCACACTAACAAGCACAAAATTAAATTGTGTGCATTGCTTGGTTGTGGAGAGGTCACAGGGAAAAGCTTGAGCTGCCAACTCACTTTACCTGGCAGTGGTTCAACTCTTTGACAGGCCTACCTCTGATTTAAACAAATTTGAGAAATATGTAAAGTTTTGGAAGCAGTTTTGCACTGATTTGATAAAAGAAACCACAAAACACTGCAGCGCAGGTGTTGAGAATGTTTGAAAGCTGATTGAGGGAAGCAGATGGCTTTAGTCAGTGGCATCCAGCCAAAAGAGCAGGTGCTGGTCACGTGACTGCTGGTTACCAGGGTAATCTGATTGCTCTTGGCGTGCAGATGAAAGGAAAGGGGCCCAGTGTTCAGCTGTAGTATTGTATAATTTGTGGCAGTTAGAGCGGAAATAAATGCTGGAAATGGAGCCTCATAGTAGGGGAGACTTCTGTCCATGTGTAGCATAAACACTAGGACAGTTGGATGAGGAATTGTTGTATGGATTTCTTTTTTTTTTTTTTTTCATTTAAAAAATATGCTTTCTGTGAATCTTCTGAGAACCTAAAGTTTTAGACCATTACCTCACCACTACCGAGTCTTAACTATTGTTTGCTGAGATCTTGAATGTTGTTTTATTTCCTAATGTGGCTGTTTACTATGCTAAAATGTTTACAAGGCAAAATAAAAACAGAACCTGAGCATCCTTCTTCACTCCTTTTCCCCCCACCCCCAGAAAATCTTGTTTAATAAACTATTTCATTAGTTGGGGGAAAAAAATTAGGTGTGTGTTGAATTTTTTCTTACATTATGAATACTTTTGAACTTTGTGATACATGCTTTCCTTTAATCCCCACAAAGCATAGCATCCCCCCTTTCCTTTTATTATATCTGATGTTTAAAAAAATATATTGTAAACCACATGTCTGTAAGCACACTGCTCTGGGAATCTACAAACTTGGTTTTTGAAGAAAAAAAATCTTTTGCTTTCAAGATTCGTTCAGATTTTAAAGCTCTCTAGAAATAGTAAAAGAATTATCATCACTGAAGTTACTGTATACTACTTCTTGGCCAACAAATGACACTTGATCTTGTAAAATTTGGAGGTCAGTTTATAGAAATTAAAGTGATAGCATTACTTGTACAGCATACTAAAAGACTGCCTGGTGAAAGTTCCAAAGATGATGGTGACTGGAATTCTTTTTTCTTCTGAAATTCTCTCAAATCTTGTAATATCCAAATGCCATTAACCCATGAGAGAAACATGTGTTTTAATTGTTTTGTTGCTTGGCTTTATTTTTGTGTTTTAGTAAGCTTGTCTTTAAAAATACATCTCATATTGACAGTGCGGAAAAGATTCACCAAAATACAATACTTATTTTTTTAATATTAGAGCAAAGTTGTGAAGAACAGGAATTTGCTATATGTTTTATTTATATTATAAAAGCTAAATGAAGGTAAGATCTAAGGATACCTTATAGTACTGGTTCAAAAAAGAACTTAAATACAAAACTAATCACAAGAGGCACAAAAAGAGAAAATCATTACATTCTAGTTTTCCTTGACAAATTTTAAAGAAAGTGTGTGCAATGTAAGAACCCAATAACAAAATTCCTTCTTAATCTTATTTTTTGTTCTAGGTTAGTAGGTTGGCAGGAATTTGTCATTGTCTAGATGAACACATACATTGTATGGATACTGGGATTTCTGCATGCAGTTTCTTTTTAATTGCGACAGACATTTGGTAAAGGTCATCAAGAGGAGGTTTTGCCATAAAAACCTGAGAGTACCACTTACCTTTAAATGTCCCAAATGTATTGATTTGAAAATTGTCATTGACTCTTTAGAGATATGCATATGGGAAATATAAGGCATGGGGTATATGAAAACCACATTAAAAAGTGAACACTAAATGATCCATTTTGAATTCTAGTAATAAGAAACCTGATTCAGAAGCAAGTGCTTTGAAGAAAAAGGTCAACAAGGGGAAAACAGAAGGTTCTGAAAATTCAGACTTAGAAAAAACACCCCCACCATCTCCTCCTCCTGAAGAAGATGATGACCCAGGTGTTCAGGTAATACTACTATTCTGATCCCCAAGCCTTGACGATTTCATTTGGGTAACTTTAGATGTCTGTAAGTAAAACAGTAGATGTCCCCTGTCTTTGTTGTAGAGCTGCTTTTAAGCTGTCTTTATTGTTTGGAATATTAGATCTCTAGAGATGAGGGCAGTAGAGCCAACGTGAAATTAAACTCCTGTCATTGTTTTGCCGTCTTTGCTTCATAGTGAAAATGAGACTATTTATTGCTATAAGTGTATATTTGATGCTTGTTATCATTAATGTCTTGTTGATTGTAAATATCTTCATTTGCTTAAAGTTCCACTCACTTTTTAAATTATCTCATCAGTGTTGTTATCCCCACCTCCTCTTCCCAGTATAAATGGAAGGAGAGTATAATTAAGGTGTAATCTGTAGCTTGAATTAAGGCTTCTGACGTGTGATAATCATAGTTGAGTTACAGATATGTGATATTGGACTTTTTGTGACCATAACAATGACTTTATTGGGTGACAACTCCTCAGAATTTTCTAATATTCCTTTCTTTTTACTTTTGGAAAATTCTGTGGAAGTTAGTTGAAAAACTACCCATGAAATAAACATTAGGAATTTTTGGTTCATATATGTGGAACACATTGATTTTCCTGATCAGATGGAGAGGGATCATACATGTGACAGTTAAAAATTATTTCCTTGTTCGGTTCCCTGGAAGCATGCCAACAGGGCCCTTTGGGATGGCTGGGAATTTAACCTATGTGAATGACATTTGAGTTATCCCACAGCAGTGCCTGAGAAGTCCTACTGGACTAAGATGCTGGCTTTCTAGAAGTGTGAGACTGGTTCTTGTCATATGGTACACGTGCAGTACTTTCCACCTGTCCTCTCTCCAGGGCACTTAAAAGGTGGGAACAAGAATGGTTTTGTGATATGTAGCTTGCATCTAAAGAATTTCAGATATATTGCATTCTTCTTTAGTAGAACTCCCTGTTATCTAATTTCATAGAATGACCTAAGATAAGAGGCCTAAAAGGGGACAGTAAGAATGAACAAATGTGGTTTTGGTTTGGTTGTACAACTAACACAGTAATACCTGTGGCAGTTGGGTCAGTTTTGAAATTTCCTTTATTTTATAAGTTGGTGAAAAGATACTGGGATGGTAACTAGTTTTATTTTACTCTTTAAAAATTACTGGGGGGCAGTTTTAAACTAGTAAATTTGAGTGTTTATTTTTTTAACTCCAAGTGCTTCAACCCTAATGATATTTGCTTAAAGCTAGGGACTTATGACAGTAGTGTCTGTACAATGTTAAAAACCATTCATGTGAATCAAGAAAAGTTTGTTATTTTGCACAAACACAGTTTGATTCTTCATGACTGTCTTGTATTAATGCAGATTCAAATAGACTTAATGAAACACTAGGTTATCTAAATTTTTTTCTTTCAGTATTTCAATTAAAGAAAGAGTCATTCTATTCACATGAACATTAAGGCATCCTTTCTAATTTGCTATTGTTTATCTGCTAGGGGGTTTACTGTCTACAAAGGCAGAGCTGAGATTGTAGGCAGTGACTGCTCAGTGGCTTTAATACAGAAAGTCATGTCAACCAGTTATTTATTATTATTTATTATGTTTTTTCCTATAATGCTTCTATAAAAGGCTTAAAGATAAAATTATTGAGACTTGTAATTTGTTTGTACTTCAGTGAATACCATATATACAGTACTAATTAAAAACTTCTGCTGGAGTTACCACAATAGTGAACATGTGCGTCACACTTAAATGTTTCATTCCATATACCTCTCTTAACTACAATTAAATAACTTTTCTAATGAGCTACCCTGGATGTGCTCACCAAGTTATGCCAAGAAATCTGGAGAACAACCAACTGGAAGAGATCTGTATTTTTTCCCATTCCAAAGAAGGGTGACCCAACAGTGTGGAAACTATAGAATAATATCATTGATTTCACATGCAAGCAAGAGTCTACTGAAGATAATCCAAAAATGACTGGAGCAGCACATCAGCAGAGAACTTCCAGAAGTCTAGGCTGGGTTTAGAAGGGGTCCTGGTACTAGGGATATTGTAGCTGATGTTAGATGGATCTTAGCTGAAAGCAGAGAATACCAGAGGAATGTATTATCTGTGTTTCATTGATTATGCAAAGGCGTTTGACTGTGTGGATCATAAACTGTGGCTCACTCTGAGGAGAATGGGAATCCCAGAACACTTGATCGTGCTAATGCGAAACCTGTACTTGGACCAAGAGGCAGTTGTCAGAACAGAGCAGGGTAACACTGCATGATTCAAAATTGGGAAAGGTGTACACGAGGGATGTGTCCTGTCTCCTTACCTTTTCAACCTGTATGCAGAACAGATTATCTGGGAGGCTGGGCTCTATGAGGAGAAATGTATCAGGATTAGTGAAAGATCTATCAGCAATCTGCATTATGTAGATGACACAACCCTGCTTGCCGAAACTGAGGAGGACCTGATGCCCTTGCTGCAGAGGGTCAAGAACGGCAGACTTCAGTATGGATTGAGGTTCAATGTCAAGAAGACAAAGATTCTCACCACTGGATCAATTGGCAGCATCAGGATGGATGGTGAAGAGATTGAGATTGTTAATAACATTACTTTGCTTGGCTCCCTGGTCAGAATAAAAAAAACGTATTGCGATGGGACAGTCTGCTGTTAGGGACCTCTCCAAAGTACTGAAGAGCAATGGTGTCTCTCTGGAGACTAAGGTGCGTCTGATACAGGCTATGGTCTTTGCAATCACTTCTTATGCATTGGAGACTTGGACAATGACTAGGGAGGATAGAAGGAGAATTGATGTTTTTGAGCTTTGGTGTTGGAGAAGAGTGCTCAGAGTCCATGGACTGCTAAGAAAACAAACAGATTCATCCTGGAGAGGGTTAAACTGGGTGGCTCCTTGGAGGCAAGGATTCTGAGGTTTGTCTGTCTGTAAAGAGAGAAGGGTCCTTGGAGAAGGATTTCATGCTTGGGAGGGTGGAGGGACGGTGTAGGAGGGGAAGACCCTCTATGAGGTGGATTGATACAGTGACTGGGGTAATCGGGATGGGTGTGTCAGAGGCAGTGCGATTGGCACAGGATAGACCAGGGTTTAGGGCTGTTGTACATAGGGTCACTATGAGTCGCAAGCGACTCGATGGCACATAACAACAACGACAACAATGCAATCCAAGTTTAAAAATAAAGGCCTCTGAAGTAGTGTCAATTTGGAAGTTTTGATTTATCCTTTAAATGCAATTCTTCCATTTTATTTTGATCTATAGCAGTCTTTCAGATAATAAGGTAAAAGTCCACAAGTGGTAAAAATAATTCTTTGAAGTACTACTTCTTCGGAAAGTAGATAAGAAACTTGGGTTCCTAAGGCAGATGAACTTGATACCAATTATTTTGTAGGAGATAGAAGCCATGTAACATTTTTTTTAAAAAAATTCAAGAAATTGAGTTCTAATTGTATTTTGGGTTATTTGCCCTCAGCCATTTCCGTCAAGTTGGAACAAGCTCATGCCTGATCTCCATTGGGTTTCCAAAGCTGTAAATTGCTTGGGAGGAGATTGTCCACCTTTACCCTTCAGAATGGCTGCAGGAGTGAACCCCCAGAGAAATGTAGCCAGCAGTGCACCTCCCTACAGTGAAGCCACCAGAGCTCCCTGTATATACCAAACTTTTTCATTAGGGAATTCTATCAGGCATACTTTGTCCTGTGTGCTGTGGTCACTTCAGTTGGGATCACCTCAACAGCATAAAGCTTCACCACTATTGAACAGACAATATGTATGAAAAGGAATGACACTTGTAAAAGTTGTATCTACCAATGCATAAATTTTTTTCTTTTTCACCAAAGAAAGAAAAGCTCCTGTTTTATTGTATTAGAACACTTCATTTTGTATCAGAGTAGGATTTAGTGGAAAGTGGATTTATCGTAGAACTCCATCCAAGGATGTTTAGTTATGTCTACTAGTAGAATACTGTGACAGTGTGTATAACTCCAAGTGGAAACCTTTTGGCATGTTACAGGTATACAAAGGGAAATGCATTCCACCTCTTAGGAATTATAGAATGGTGAAAATAGAAATGAGTATGTTGCTATTTTGTTAAATTGACATACCAAATGAAATAGGAATGTTTTGCTAATTTTCACAAATTGAAAATACTGCTCTTGATAATAGTATTTATGTCTTAAAGACTTAAGTGAAGGGTGAGAACATGGCCCAAAAGAGCAGAGTTGCTCGAAAGAAAACCTGGGGCTGTGGACAGACAGGTCTTGTAGTCTCTTGACCCTTTAGAGAGAGTTGCAGCTGTCTGTGGTTGAGTCTGAGCCAACTCATAGCTGACCCTCCAGCAGATTTTCAGAGTCTGTGAATTGCACAGCAGGAGATTGCCCATCTTTCTGCCACAGAGCATCTGCTGGATTCGAACCACATACCTTTGGGTTATCAGCGCAACTCTTTACCCACTAGTTAGTGATGATGTTAGGTCTACTAATTGTATTCACCTATAATTTGTACCCTATCCTGAATGCTTTAAATAAATTCCCTCACATGAGTTTTATATCATTATGAGGTAGGTAGTATCATTAACCTCATTCAACAGACCAGGAAAATGACATCCATACAATATTTTTTAAACATAGGCACTCAGCTCCAGGGCCCATGAGGTCAAGCGACCTCCAGTGGTGGGGGAAAGGGTCCCAGAGGGCTTCTGTGCTGCCTCAAAATGGTAATGCCTGTTTTGGGCAGCACCGAAGCTGTGTAATGGAGAGGAGGGTCCGAAGTGGAGCCCCGGGCCATGTCGTCACTCCTCACCGAGTCACAGGAAGTATATGAATCAAATGTTTCTCAGTACTTAAATCAGCCAAGTACTCTGTGGCTATGCTGCCTCATGGTGGTGCAGGGTCTTGGAGCCAACCATGTTAGCAGTTCACTTGATGGACTTCCTGTGATGTGCTTTTAGTGTTAGCTGCCTCCAGTCCCCATTAGAAAGACTTAATGAAGTTAGTCAATTCCAAGTTTTGGACAAGTACTGGGATTCTGGTTTGGTCTGGAAATGGAGCTCGTGTACTATCCATTCCTCATTTGTACTCCTGGTGACAATTTTGCTTTCTTCGCCTCCTTGTCCTCCCTGTAAAGGATTTGTACTCCCTGAGCTCAGGAAGCTCTTTAAAAAGCTTTGCATAATTATCATTATGAAAGCACTGTGCAGAAGCATTAACTTCTCATTTCTATTCTTATTCCACGTGCTTTGTGAACTCTATATTGTGATATTCTTTTAAAATTTTTTTATTATTAATTTCAATGAAAATTTACAGAGACTTTGGATTTCCATTTATTCATTGTTGCACTTTGCTCCCCTCCCA